CCAGGCTCAAAGGAGCAACAAGGATTTGGTCTCCTGGGAAGCAGACGAGCACAGATGGATCAGGACAGCAGGCTGAGGCTGTTTACTGCCTTTGAGGACAAACATACCCCATGGAAGAAAGAAATCATTGCTGCTTCCTCCTGTTACCTAGTTTTATACGTATTTGTCAGTTGCTTGAAAAAGCCTCCTTGTTCTCGAAGCCGAGCAAACGGGGACATCTGAGTTTGGTCCAGTGTCACACATACCGGGGCCTAGCACTCAACCAGTCATGTTTCTCACCTGCTTTACGGTGACTCAACAACCATCACCTGAGCAGTTGTGTGTCCCACTGGCCTGCAAAATAGGCAGGTGCGAAACAGGCATCCCTGAGGCACAGACGGGCAGTGACCAGCACAGGCCCAGCCTCACGTCCCTCCACTGGTGCAGTCTGATGGCCGTTCCAGACTACTACCCTGCTCTTAACCGCTCTGACAGCCAGCACACACCCCGATAACCTAGTCAAAGAGATCTTCCTACACTATCAGGTGATACTTTTTTATTTTTTCCGCTAGCTTTGAGTCCTAAGTTGATAGCTGTGTCCAAGATTGATTTTTTGGGAGACTATATAGGGAAGGTTGTCCAGAAAGGTGATCACTGACAGGTGCCCCCACTTTCTCAGACAGAACCTCCCACGTGCCAGAGTGTTTGTGTCAGGAGTCGGGTCGTCTGTGGTCAGTGTGTCTGAGGGCACCTCTCTTCCCTGTCTCCTAGGGAGCTCGCTTGCTTGCATCCTCCGGCTCGTGGAAGGGTGACCCTGCGGCTCACCTCAGGACACAGCCTGGTCCTGCCCACCTCTCAGTAGGTCTGCACAGGGTCATGTGCAGGACAGTGCACAGGGAGCTTCTTCAGAACAGAAAAAAAAACAACAAAAAACCAGCATTGGCCCATCTGCACTTTCCTCTTTGTGCCTCGGTGGTGTCCTGAACCCAGTGGGCACCCGCTAAAGACACTTCACCTTCTGCAAACACGTACATTGGAATTGATGGGAAAGTGAAAGGTGCCTGACATTTGTGTTATCTGGTTAAACACCCACTTGCACATTTGGGGTTTTACATAGTCTGGCTATTTTTCTTTCACCTTTCACTGATTATTTATTCCTTGTGTGGCTTTTGGCAGCTTTAATACTGACTAGGATGGTATGAAAGTCTTCAGAGATGAAGACAGAGGAGGTGGTAGCACTGTGGACTTGAAATATATGGCATAATGTTTAGGAACTGGAAGAAAAAATAATCCCACCGTAATACTCATTTCAGTGTAAGGAAGACAAATACTGTGTTTCCCTGTGGCATGATTTGACCTGTATGTAGGATAACCAACTGCATAATATACAAAGACTCCTTATAATGAAGGGATGAGTTAGTATAATCTTTGTCCTCTGAATCCAAAATATTTCTAGAAACAATATGTACCCTTTCTCCTTAAAGTTCAAGGGAGTTTCAAATTTTGATTTTCGTCTCTGTTACCTCATAGAAATTAGTTAGAAACATGAAATATCCTTATTTTATGGATAAGCAAAATTCGGGAGAGATTGGATCATTTGCTCAGGGTCCCCCCTCAGGACAGTTGCCAAGCCAGGGACCACGCAGGCCTCCGTGTCCTCGTCCCCCGCTGCCTCCTGCCTTCAGCCCGCCGGCCCCCGGCCTCTCCTCTGCACGTCCCCTTCTGTCTGTCCGTCTGCCTGTGTGCGTGCTGCTCCCACTGCCCTGCCTGCCTCAGGCCGCCCTCACTTCTCCGTGGAGTTGCAGTTGCAGCGCGCACAGTGCCGTTCAGATGGTGCCCAGGCAAACTGAAAGCCGTCTGTCACGCCCCACGGTCTCCTTCGTGCTCGGGGTCTGCTTCCCTCTTCAGCTGGATCTCTAGCCGTCTTCCATCCTGTGACCCCCTGGCTCCGGCCATACTAGATTGCTTTGCTGTCTTTTGATGTCCTGTGTTCTCTCACAGCTCTGTTCCTTTCTGACCCTCTTGCTTCTCTCTGGAGCCTCCTCTCCCCGGTCCTGCATCCTCAGCTCCTGCTTTCCTTCAGGGCTTCGCTCAGAATCAGCTGCTCCCGGAAGCTTCCCTGGTTTTATCCTCTCCTGCTCCCCCGACAGCACCTCCCCCTGCCCCGCAGAAAGGCAGCGTGGGGTGTCCTCACTAGGGCACTGCCCTCTGTACTGGCATCTGTACTGTTTGTTTTGTTTCTGTTTCCTACTGGCCTGTGAAGTCCTGAGAGTGGGAGCTGTGTTGTTAATTTTGTGCATCTCCAGCTGGCCCATGGTTGATGCTCAGTAAATATCCGTTAAGGAATAGCAGAATCCCAGCTTTCTTGATCCTCAGAGTTTCTTATCAGACTGCAGGATACATTTGATTGATAATAGTAACCAGTATTATTCAGCATAGACTGTGTCCCAGGCACTGCCCTGGGCACCTTATGTATGTTCATTCACTGAATCTCACAAAACTTTCCCAAATCCATTGCCACTGGTGAAACTGAGGCACAGAGCACTTATGAGTCTTGCCTAAAGACACAGCTGTTAAGTGTCAGGATTTAATCCAGGCAGTTTGGCTCCAGAAATCACATTCAGTGTAGTATGTTTTAGCCCTAGCTCCTATTTCCAGCATGATCTGATGTTATTGGTAGGAAACAAGTAAAATAGGAAGACATCTCAAAACTTTAACGCATACCAACTCATACACCTTTCTCAACCAGAGAGCAGAGAAGGGCTAGGGAGATGGGAAGAGGGAGGAGGGAAGGGAAGGAGGGAAATATGTTGATATAAATCAGGAATTCATTAATTTATTTGTAGCATATTTCAAAGTAAGTAAAAGTTTTATAAATAAATTTAGATTTTTAACAAGATTTCTATAAAACAGTTTGGACTAAAATTTCCACTGAGAGAGGATGGTGAAGACCTAGGATAGCTCTTACGCCGTTAATTTATTTTTATACTGCTATTTAAATATTTGCAGATATTTAGCAAAATATTTTTATTCTTCTCTTTGGGCTTTCCAGATACCACAAGGATCTTTGTTACCTCTGTCGTTTTCAGAGGATTTTAACGTGTGTTATTTCATCTTACACTGAAGCCCACTATTTTACAAACTTCCTGGGAAGCTAAGAAGGATACAGACTGGAGGATACTGCACATCCTCAGCACATACACAACCAGGGCATTTTAACAACTCCAGGAGGCCCTTAACCATAGCAGAGAGAAAGCTGTCACTAGTAAACTCCTTTACTGGATGGTGAGCTCTTTTTTTAGATGTAAACTTCTTAAGGATGATGGCTTTATCTCATTTTATCCCATAGAGTGTTTCAGAACTGGCCAGCAACAGATATCTAGTAAATGCCTCTGGAAAGCATAAATGAATGAAAGTCATATAGTGACCTGAGTTAATATTTATTCCATTAAATGACTGGTCATGTTACTGAAAAGCTCTCAGAAGCTAGTTGAAAGTGATTTATAAAAGGAATTCCCACCACCACATGATAGGTGAACCTTGTGAGTGAGAATGCTTTCTGGAGCAGTGTGCTCTTTGCAGTATTATGTCCAAAAACTATGATTAACCCCCAAGAGAAAACATGCACTGAAATACTAGCAAATGCAAAGTCCAGGCAGAAAATACAGTTAGATGTATAATCATCCATAGACTCAGTCTTCATGTAAAATATTTTCTAAAGATCTAGAAATAAGTTCAAGAAAAATAATTCCCATAGAAATGATAGGGCAAGGAAACTTTGCGTATTGGATTCATCCTTCCGTGGTTTAATGGGGAGAGAGAAGAGAGAACGGTAACAGGCAGTTTTCCAGCACTTACTGTGAGAGCCAGTGCTTCAAGACCTGGGCAGTATGATTACTCCCCATTTTACAAATGAAGCAGTTGAAGCCTGAGAAGTAACTTGTCCAGAGTCACGCAGCTGGTAAATAATGGAGCCCCAGTTCAAGCCTGACTCCAGAGCCCATGCTCTTAACCACTACGCTATGTTGTACTTAAAGTAAGACCACCTCCCCGCCAAAATTAAAAAAAAACACACACCCTCCTTTAGAGGAAGTCTCTGCACAGCTTATATTTTACCAAGTTTCTGTTACCTCCATTCCCAACCTGGACGTAAATACTGGCAATTCACTGCATATAATTCATTGTTTTGTGATATTTTTTAGGCACACAGAAGTTCTAGAAAAAAATACGGAGACGTGTTTAGTCTTTCTGATCATCAGATAAATATAAAGCAAAGAGATGTTCTTTTTTCACTTGTTAGATTAATAGTTTATATTTAGAATTAAAATACTCATGTTGGCTGAGAAGCAGTGAGGCCCAGACTGTCACTGGTGGGAGAGTAAATTGGTAAAATGTTTTTGTAAACTGAAAAATATCAATTTATATCTGAAGTTGTTTTTTTTTTTTAAATGTGTACCCTTTGCCCCAGGAATTCTACTACTGGGATTCTATCCTGAGAAATAATAGAAAGTATAAAAGTAGGGAAATAATAGAAGTATAGGAAAAACTTTTATGTACTTAACATATGTGGTCAAATAGTAACATGTACTAACTTTTATTTTAAATTGTGCTGTATAACTTGTTATAAGTACAGTACATTTAAGTGTAGGAATACTCCATTTTAAAATAACTTTGTTCCTTTCCTTCATAAAGTATCCTGAAATACTGGCAGTATTTGATGATTAATATTTGATACTGTTTTTTGTAATTGTGAGTTCACACAGAAGTACAAAGTAAGCCCTGTTTCTTGGCAAAGATATTTCTGTCATGATCCATTGCTTTCACCCAGCTTAGTATCAGCTTCTTAGAACTGCCAGTCACCAGAGAGTCTCAACTATATTAATGATAAAATCTTTGTTAGAAATGTTTATAGCTTTTTTGTTGAATAGATTCTTTACCTTTACCTTAAACCTTAATTAGGGTTTCAAAGTTTTTCTTAACTCACAAGACCTTGTTGAAAAAGCAGAATATCTGGTACTTACCTCTTAGTGCCTTGTTGGGACCTCTGTGTGGTAGCAGTCAGTATTCGCCCAAACTGAAGTAGGTTAACCTTGGCACGTTGTTTTAAGGGAGATTATGCAGACATCCTTTTATGGTGGTGGCTTTTTTTCTGTCACCCTGTGACTGAGCACAGTAATGATCAGTTAGTCTGATGTGTGCGTGTGCACTTTTTTTTTGTTAATAGGAAGTGAAATTTTTCTGTTAGTGAATTTTTTAAAAAGAGTTATCCAAAAACCCCTTGGACTTTATGAATTTTTGATATCTATGGAACTTTATAAATTTTTCTATAAAGATTTAAGTTTAAAAAAAATCCTTTGGAAGAGACTGAAGCGATAAACCTTAACCAGGAAAAAAAAAAGAATCATAGTTATTGATGATTTTGTATCCATATTATGTGTAAAGTGTGAGTTTTTAAAGGTTTTAAGGGAAAAAATGTCAATTTTGACAATTCTGTCTGCCTGGAAACTTGGTGCAGGGAGTAGTTCACTCATTCTGTATCTTATCAACAGCTTAATGAGAAAGAAACAGAAATTTCTGTGGTGAGTGGAGAAAAATGCTCTTTTGCATGTGTGCAGTGATTAGTCAGTATTTTCAGGCGGGAGACCAACTGACTGGATCGCTGATTGCATGGACACATGCATGACAAGGGAAGAGTTGAAGGGGGCATCCTACAGCTAGAATTGCCTCTCGTGCACAGGATGAAGGAGACCTGTGCTGTTCACCTTCAAGTCTTAATGGACTCAGTTTAAACCAACAGTGTCACATGGCTATCAAAATGCAAATTGATTTGCAGGCTAAAATAATGGAAATATAGCGCTCAGAACAAGAGAGATGATCTGGCCATTCCCGGTGAGCTCAGGAAGCTGCATTTTACCAGGGCACGGATGACCTTAGAGCATGGGTGGTGAGGGGTCTAGATGCCAGGTCTTAGGAGAAATGATGGAATAAACTGAGCATGTCTGGGCTTGGCAGGGACGTGATCATTACCCTCACGTGTTAGGAAGCTCTCATGGTAAAGGGTTTAGATTGTATGTGTTAGTCTTCCTAACTCCAGGGAGTAGAAGGAAGGCCTTGTACGAGGAGGTTACCAGACAGCTTTCAAATCAAAATGTGAAAGTAGATCTCAGAAGTTGAGATCATAAAAAAATGGCATGTTGTCTCTTATTCAGGTGCTTGCATAAACAGGATGACTATTTTGAGGGATGTTGTAGAGAGAATTGAATCATTTGGTAGGAATTTGTAACCCTGTGACCTCAGAGGCCCTTCCACTCCAGGATTATGTCAGAGTGGCCGAGGACCTTTAGCCTCTCAGTGGTGTTATTCCATTGAGAGGCTTGTTAGGTTCTTATAAGCTCTAAAGTGCTGAAGATCTGTAGAGGAACCTTGTCAAACAGAAGAGCTACAACTCACCTAAATTCTTTGGGTCTCCACCCCATTATATAAAATAAAAGTACTGAACTAAATGATCACCAAGATCATTCCTAGTCCAATAATTCTGTGAGGGGGAAATGCAGAGATTTTGTGATTTGGTGGATCAATGTGATAAAATCTTCTAGAACTGGTTCCTTTAAAGCTTGGGTTGAAGAATCCTTGAAGAAGACACTGTTGAGAAGTTTCTCAGTTTGTTGAAAAGCCATCGTGGTGGGGTTTTGGTTTTTAGTTTTTGAAATAGTTTTTATTAAGTAAAACGTTGTTATATCATGAAATGTAGCTAAAGTAAATGTTCTAGCAAACTGGATCTCCCCTTTTTTTTTGGTATTAGAGTAGTCAAGTGTATAAAGAAGAGGTGATAGGGTAATTGTCCTCTGAGATGCCATTGAGGTTTAGTGTGAGATAATTCCATGAGCTCACAAACCTTATTTTTATTGTTGAAAGTTACCAGGATTTCTGTAATTGTACTGTAAAAGTGGAGTCCATGTCCTTTTCTGTAGAAGAGATGGACGTTTGTGACCTGAACTGAGAGTTTCTACTATGTTATTTGTTCTGTCAAGCACAGTTGTGAGTATAGAGTAGATACTCAATAAATATTAGTGGCGTTAGTGAATGAATTCTTTATAAACCGTGTTCCTCTTTTCTGAACTTCAGCCCTATATGCTTAAGCCAGATAGGACTTCCAGAAGTTAGCTGCTCACAATACAAAAAGGTCAAACTGAGTTATTGTTGCCAATACAAGGAACAAATGTTGTCATAAAATAAGGAAAAGAGAAAAACTGGTCAGTGACTAAAAACACTCAGTGTGTATAGAAATAGCAATGGAAATTTTCTACAAAACAACCTGTATAACTGTGGTCTGAACTATATGCTTTTGTATTATGGGTAGATGTGGTTTAGTGTTTAGTCATCATTTAAAACTACACAGTGATGAATAACTTCTAAGGAATTTTGAAATTTCTTCTATTGGTATATACGATATGAGCTGGGGTCATTAAAATTCCTATCAATATTTCTTAGTTTACACTGGAATGTAACCTCAAGCAAGAACTCTGCTTCGGATTTTTTATTATAGCTTCACTCTTTACACTTTATTGCTAAATGTAAACAGAAGACCTTCTATAAGTTAAGTACCTAAAGACATGTTCTGTAGTGAGAAACTCAAGTGCCACCAAAATAGAGTTTTCTTATTATTACCAAGAGAACAACAGGCCACATTTTGAGTATATCTATGAAACTGTATGTTTTAATCCCATTAAAAACAGCAAAACAAGAAAAGGGGTTCTTTAAAACAAAAGACAAATTCTGCTGTATGGTTTTACCATTTTAAAGAGAAATTCATTGATTCAGCAAGGACTCACTGAGCAACTACCCTGTGCCAGGCGTGGTTCTAGAGAGTGGAGGTAAAGCAGCAAACAGACTGACAGAGATCCCTGCCTTCGTGGAGCTTCCATCCCAGTCGTGGAGACAGATGATAAATAAGCCGCGTAGTAAATTAGGTTATTGGTGCTGTGGGGAGAGGAAAGAGAGAAGGCAGAGTAGGGGTGGGGCTGTGAGGTGGGCGCAGGCTACAGTTTGGAGTAGGGTGGTCAGGGAGGGCTTCTTGGAGAAGGTGCCATTTGAGTGAAGACCTGAAGGGTGTAAGGGAGTGAGTGATGTACTTGTCTGTGGGAAGATGGCCAGGAGAGGGGGAAGCAGCAGCACGTGCCCTGGGGCACAGTGTGCCCGGTCCTGTGTCCGGGGAGCAGTGAGAGCGAGTAGGGGGAGTCTACGGAGTAGAAGGCAGGTCAGGGTGGGGGACGCAGGGTCTTATGCGTGTTTGTCATGACTTTGGCTTTTACTTTTGGCTGGCGGTGGGTCATTGCAGGATTTTAAGCCCAGGAGCGATTAACTTGTTCTTTTTAATGAAAAGAATGCACAGCTGCCTCACCAGCTGTGTTTGTGTGTAGTATTGATATTTAGAATATGACAATTTAAATAACCCTCTGTTAACATTGCTTTCGTTAATTTTTTTTTTTAATCTAACAAATGTTGCCGGTCGATTACGGGTAAGTGTCCACATTAGGCACTGGGGGGATGCAACGCTAAATAGAACGTGGTGCTTCCTCATAAAATGAATAATCTTATGGGAGATTTTTTTAAAAAACCCTATGTAGTTAGTTAAGATGTAGATCATACGGCTGTTCAAGAATAAGAATTGTTTCATTGCCCCACATTAAATGAGCTTTTCTCCTGTGCCAAGCACTGGGTCCAATGCTGGGATAACCACAAGCATGTATCTCCTTCCCTGCCCCAGGAGGAGGGCCAGAGGAGTGAAGCATTCCAGACACGTCAGCCGAGCTGTCTGCAGACCTCTGCTGCCCTGTCCCTGCCGTCTCCTTACGAGACCACAGGAGGCTGCATCTTACCCGTCTTCGGGTCTCCAGTCCTGACCAGGGCCTGGCGCTCAGCTGTTCACTGGTTGGGGTTTTCCCTCTTCTAGCATTTACTACATTCTTACAGCTGCCTGTAGATGATGCTGCCATTTATCACATCTTCAACATGTGTTTGGTTTTGTTTTGTTTTTAATAGAACCGAGAGGACAGTGAATGATTTTTTTTAATAATACATTCTCTATCGAAGATGGGAAAATGCACGAGAGGGACCTGTTGTTTCCACAGAGATGATAATGAGAACATTTCTTTGTGGAAGTGAAAAGTATTTCTTGTATTTTTCTTATGGTAAAAGCAGTCGTTCTTTGTACGATGCCACTTATCCAAAACATGAGAAAATAAAAGACTAATTAAATTAAGCCGTGAGTTTAATGAAGAATGGGTGTAAGTTTGTGTCCAGACCACATGCCTCATTCACGTCTCCCGCCTTGCCCTCGTAGGAATGTGAGTTCGCCATCTTGGAGCTCTAGTTCCTTGAGGTTCGGGGCTGCTTCTTACTTAGAGATGTGGACAGAGCTGCTGTGGCTGGCCCACTGCCTCTCACAGATTCACTCAAACGGTGAAACTGAGGGCTTCCCTGGTGGCGCAGTGGTTGAGAGTCCGCCTGCCGATGCAGGGGATACATACAGGTTCGTGCCCCGGTCCGGGAAGATCGCACATGCCGCTGAGCTGCTGGGCCCGTGAGCCATGGCCGCTGAGCCTGCGCGTCCGGAGCCTGTGCTCCGCAACGGGAGAGGCCACAACAGGGAGAGGCCCGC